CATCAACGGGCGCCCCTACACGCTCAACGCCCAGGCGTACCCCCTCATGGTACGGCTGCAGCTCCCCCAGTGCCACCACCCCCAATTCCCAATGGCTCCAGAGACAAAGGTGGCCCAGAGCCACTCTGGGAGCTGAGCCATGAGTCCTGGCAGGTGACAAGCCCCACTGCTTCGTGCATGGGACCCGCAGTCACCATTCCTGTGTGTCCCCATGTGCACGAAGGTCTGGGGTTCATCTCCAGCTTTGCACTTCTCCTTCCCCAGGAGACCAGTGATGGCATGGACTTCTGCACCAGCGGCTTCCAGGGTTTGGACATCGCCCCTCCTGCCGGACCCCTGGACATCGCCCCTCCTGCTGGACCCCTCTGGATTTTGGGCGACGTTTTCATCCGTCAGTTTTACTCCGTCTTTGACCGTGGAAATAACAGGGTGGGCTTGGCCCCCGCTGTCCCTTAGGGCAGTGGCATCTTCTGGGGCAGGAGGGGGACAGAGCCACCAAGCTGCTGCCCTGGAGCAGGGCAGGGGGTTTCACTGCTGCATCAGTGTCCCTGGAGGTGATGAAGACACCTGGGAGCTGCAGCTGAAGAGCCCAGCAGAAGTTCACTCCACACTAGGAAGATGTTTCATAATGAATATAAAAATGTCTTGAGCAGTTTTGTGATCTGCTTTGCAGATTCTCTTTTTTTAAACACAGGTCAATAAAAGCTTTAATACAACAAAACCTGCCACGCTCGTGTCATTCCAGAGAAAAGAAAGTCCCAAGAGGTGGCTGTGGACATCCCCGAGCTCCCTGCTGAGCCCCGGGCGAGGGCTGTGGGCAGGGGCAGGGCTGGGGCTGGGGGAGCAGCGGGTTCACTGGAAAATGTGTCTCTTCAGCCGGCTGAGCTGGTGCTGGTGCACACACAGGAAGGTACCGAGGAGACTGGAGAGACCCTGGGGCTCTTCCTCTGCCTCAAAAATCCCACAACAACCGGTGATTTCCAGTGAATTTTGCTTTGATCCCCCTGGGCACTTGAAAAAACAATGTGGTTGGTCGGTACATGAAGTGAGAGAGGGCAAACCAGCCACCAAAGTTGGTAGCCAGTGGCCACGGGCTGGGGGGGGGGGGCTGTGGGGAGCTGCTGGCCATGGGGGTCCCCATGAGTCACTGCATGTGACTCGCTGACGGTACAAGGGATGCGGGAGAAAGCACGAGCGATGGTGGCTCATGCATGATGCATCCTGAGTCGCATGGAGGGCAGCGAGAAAGGGAAGCTCAGGGAAGGGTTATTTCTGTCTGTGCCTTCGCTGCGTTTTCCTGGCTGACACTGAAGCGAAGCCCCGTGGCAGGCGGGTGCTGGGGTCCCCACGGTTGGATCCAGGCTGTGTGCCTGCTGCATCTTTCCCAGACCAGAGCAGACTTCAGGGCTGGGATTGAGAGTGCTGGAAAATTCAGATCTGGTTGTAAACTTTGCAGCTCAGCCTTGTCGTTTGCAATGAAAGGAAATCTCTGCCTGCCTTGGAAATATTGATTGTGCCACTGACCAACATATGGTTTCTGTAACCGGTTCCTGTATTGACTTCACCTCAGCTGTGCTTTCCCCAAGCACTGGGCAGATAAGGTGTGGGGGCAGTTGGACAAAGGTCTCTCCCTCCTCCAGTTTAACTCTTTGCACACCAAGGTGCTGCTGAGCACCAGCCCATCACCGTGGCTGTAGGCAGCAGGGGAACATCCAGCTTTCCCAGCATGATGAGGAACCACTTGGCTGACAGCAAGAGGTGGCCCAGCTTGGATTTGATCAGGGTTGCTCTGCTGCCATGTGCTCTTGGGGTCCCAGAGCATCCCATGTCCTCTCGGCAGGTCTCAGAGGGTCACCTCTAGCCCCTCTCCCTGTGCATGGTGGATGCTCAGGGGACGTTGCTCCAGCAAACACTGAGCACCCCGAGAGCAAGCGTTGGGGTCCCTCTGTCCCCTGGGGAGCAGAGGTGGCCGATCAGCTGCAGGGAACACTCATCACTTGGATGCCTTTTGCTTTCTTCCCCTTCCCTCACTCTCACTGCCCCACGAGCCTTGCTGCAAGGAACAGCCCGTCCTCTCCTTGTCCACACGAGCCTTTCCTCTGACCGTGGCAGCCCTGGGTTTGTGTTTCATCATCTCCTAGCTGCAAGATCTTCCTCATAGTCACAGGGAACAAAAAACACACTTTTTTTCCTGAGAATTGCTGACTCGTTGAAGCAATGGGGACAGGATTGTAGCTGTGGTTGCAGGAGCTGCTGAGCAATGTCTTGGCCATCCTCCTTGTCCACACGAGCCTTTCCTCTGACCGTGGCAGCCCTGGGTTTGTGTTTCATCATCTCCTAGCTGCAAGATCTTCCTCATAGTCACAGGGAACAAAAAACACACTTTTTTTCCTGAGAATTGCTGACTCGTTGAAGCAATGGGGACAGGATTGTAGCTGTGGTTGCAGGAGCTGCTGAGCAATGTCTTGGCCATCACCCCCTCTACAGCACCACTCCCACTGCCTTCATCCAGGGTGAAGCTCTCACCAGGAGCGGTAAGGAGAGCAGGAGTTTTGGGGAAAATACCTTTTCTTGTGAAATCTAATAAAAGCCGGTGCTGGTGCTGAGCCCGGGCTGGGCACCCTGATGGGTACAGCCCCTCCTGCCTGAAAGCAGAAGTGGCTGCAGGCGTCAGCTGTAGCAGCACAACCACAAATCCCATCTCCACCGGCGTGGAGAGGCATCGATCATCTGACCGGGTGAGCAATGTCCATCCCACCAGGCGTGGAGGGATGAGTCGAGAGGAACAGGGGCAGAAGTAGTCAGGGGAGAGGTTGGACAATGAAGTCTCTCTGCAAGGACAAAGGTGAAGCAGCACGAGGAAAATAGGCTGAAAACAGGGATTAGGAGAGATCTGCTCCAGGGAAACATCAGCCTTTTCCCCACCACCGGTGAGAACTGGCTCAGGTGCTTCTCCTGCCTCATCCCAGCTCCTCCCTGCACTTGCCCCGTAGGGGGAAAAAACAGATTTTTCTGGCCAGACAGGTCCCAAAATTGCACCTGGGAAGGTGGAGGGGGAGGGTTTGTCCTGCTGAGTGCAGTGATCTTCCCTGAGATCCCACAAGGGATGTCTACAGCAAAAAAAAAAAAAATCTACAAAAATGAGGGCAACCAGTGGAAAAGCCAAAGCTGGTGGCCTCAGAGGGACCTCCCCACCGTGTCCCCAGGCTCCCATCCTGATGTGATGCCCTACTTTTGGGGTGCCCATGGGATGCTGGCTGTGGCCATGGGTGCAGGGTGGGAGCCCTTAAGGACTGGAATCATAGAATCATAGGTTGGAAGGGACCTTAAGGACCACCTGGTCCAACCTTTTTTGGCAAAAGCACAGCAAAGGCGTGGTCTAGACAAGGTGGGCCAGCACCCTGTCCAGCTGAATCTTCAGAGTGTCCAAAATTAATCTTAAAAAGTGTTTAAAATGAATCTTAAAAGTGTCCAAAAAATGACTGGGGGTTTCAGAGATGTGACCCGATGTACTGAGGGGCTGCAAACGCTTCTGCTTCCCACCCTGCCCCTCTCC